TCCCCCATACTTTAACAGCTTTACGTACTCCACTACCAGTTGATAAGATAAAAAATACAGTTCGTGCTAGAAGCCCAAGAGTAAACTCAATGCAAGGAATGAAGAGTGGCAAAGAGCCTCTTTGCACCTCCATTGTAGGAGGCAGTTAATCCCTGGCAGGAGAGAATAGCTCTGTTAAATTAAGGGGCTCAATGGAGCCAGAAGAAAATCAAAGAAATGCTAAAAAAGAGAGAGGAGGTGGTCCGTGGAGTTGTTTGGCTTGTGTACCCAGGCCAGCTTCGTGGGTGTGTGGCCAGTGCAGTCACACAGGGCCCCACACTCAGAAGAGCTCTGTGCTTGGTTTAAGGCTCTGGTATCACCATCCTGAAATTCTTAATAATGTTGGCCTCGCATTTTCATTTTGCACTGGGCCCTGCAAACTATGTAGCCAATCCTGTTTGCAGTTTCCTCCCCCCTCAGCTTGTGTTACTCAAGATGGACATAAATTGACTTTCAAACCACCGAGAACTTGAAGGAAAGGAGGGGAAACACAAGTGGGTGGCAGGAAAAGGGCTGGAGGGAGAAACCTCCCTCCCCTACCTCCGGAGAATGCCCACACGGGTCTAGGGAAGCTCTGGTTCCTGACCCCTCTCACCCCGTCCCAGGAGGGGCCAGCACAGGAAAGCAGTCAGCTTCACAGGGGTTCCTTTAAGTGAGGGGACAAGCCGCAGAGGGATTAAATCAGGAATAGCCCTTGAAAACAGTGAACCCCACTTTGGAAATAAGGATCAACAGAGAACATCATTCGGACCCCATCAGACAGAAACACAGAGAAAATGGAAACTACCATTTCAATGTCTGTTGAAACAAAGAAGGGTGATGGTGCAAACAGGACACCAAGCAGGGTGACGTGTTGCAGGGAGATGGGGTCGGGAATAACCTGGCAGTATGCTTCCGGCACTTTCCAGGAGACAAAGGGCTTTGGATCAAGGTGACTGACACCAGTTCTAATGTTTCAGAAATGTCTAAGAATGGAGATATGCTGCCTAAGTTGGACAAAAATGTCTTTAAAGTCCAATTATTTTTGTTCTAATGATAGATACACTCTCCAGGCAGCCTCCTGACCTGTGATCTCCTGAGAGGACCTACCCACGAGGAGGAAATGACCTGTACAGATGACCAGCCCAATTCCTATGCCAG